GGGATGCTTGATCGGGGAGCGATGCGTTTCGTGTCAAGTGTTTGGTATAATTATTTGGAAATTGAGGGTTTTTAATGTTTCGCGTGTTTCTTAGAAAAGAACGTAAGATGTCGAAGAGTAAGAAAATTAAAGGAAGACTTGAAAATTTGTGGTGTTGTTTGAAAGTTCAACGAAACAAAATGAATGAATATTTCTTAAAATAAACTATAAGAGTAACATGTCGAAGAGTGAGGAAAGGGAAAGTAGAGATCAAAATCTGCGAGCGCAGAATTACGTAGAAATCGAGATCTTCACATATGTATGTGACATTATTGTTTCAAAGTTCTTCTTAGCGCAGAATCTGAAAAATTGAATCGACGCTGAATACTGTTCACGAAATAAAATACAAATTTCCAAACATCCCAGGTTCAAAATTTTCACACGATAAACCTCGAGAATTTCAGGAAACGATGACCGCGTTTCATTAATTCCGGCCGGTTTTCAATACGCGTGCGGCCAATCACAGGACCTCGTAATGGCCCGTGTAGCCGTTGCCTCTTTGCCTAATGTTAGCCCTTTTAAAGAACGTATCATAAATTGCGTAAAGCGAAGGCGCACCAGCTTTTATGCTACGCTGCCTCGGGCGAACGATTCCCCTTCTCACCCTTTTCGCTCTCCTTCGTCATCCTTCTCTGCATCATCCTGTGCTCGGAAGAGGCTCCCTTGCTCGGACCAGCTAAAAAGTAGCGTTTTTGGGCGAAATATAAAATTGATAAAACCCACAGAACACCCCCATCACCCTCGAGCAAACATTCCGATCCCTAACGAATCTCTATTAGAACGTGATTTCCTTTGTTGTCCAACGATCATTAGGTTGGACCAAGTTTAACGATAAATTAACGTTCCCACGAGAATCAATCATACCCACTGATGCATATTTCCCATGTGACGTCATTATTCGTGTACCACGGTAATTGAAATAGAGCGGAGAGAATTCTTCCTTCACACTTTACCCGTGTGTCGAATCCCGTCGAACAGAGTCGTACGAATTTTCCTGTTATAAAGCTAGCGATAATTGCTACAAAAAAATTTACCGTAGTGCGACTATAAACGTGTTTCATTGATTCTCATTTAATAAGTAACTCTTGTACGTTTAAAAGTATACAGTCTGACAGATACTACAGATACACTCTCGTTCCTAAGTATCAAGACACTTACTGGCTGTGAAGCGAACTTAAACAGTCGTTACAAAATTATTAAGGTCTCGAAAAGGAATTATTCAGTCAGGAATCTCTCTTTTACTAATACACGACATTAACTTTACCAAAGAAATGAAATTTAAATCCCGCAATACTCTCCGTTCTAATACCTCCGAACGACAGTGTACACGCACCGAACGATTAAAAGGGGTTAAACGCGAATATTAATCAGACGAATTAGCTAGAAATAAAATTAAAAAACAATTTCCCCCTTCCTAAGAATACACCCCCCCCTTTTTCCCGCCTTTTTCTCTTGTCCGCCAGCTCGCCGGGGCGCACAGCGGTGTCTTAAAGAGAAAAAGACTGACGAGGACGTCCCTTTGTCGAAATGTTTCGCATATTGGCCGCCGCCGTCGGAAGTGCTGGCTCGCGTTTTCTGTATCACGCTATATGCAAATGAGACATATGCTCTCGCCGCGCCACATAATAAATTACTCGTGTAGAGTTGGCCGATGTATAGGTGGGCCTAAAATTACGTACTGGTCCTGCCAGGGATACATACAAACAGATCGAGGCCAGGCTGCATCGAAACGCGAAACCAGCCAACAAACACGACGTTAGTGTACGCGCTCGCGCGCGTCAAACCATCCACGTCTGGTCGTCTTACGGGATAATACGTGGGCTCTTACGCGCCCCTCGAACGTAATGCCAAACTGTCCTTTCGCCTTTTAATTCCCTTTCTCTCCCTCTCTCTCTCTCTTTCTCTTTTCTTCTCTGTGTTAAAAGCCGACTACTCATCGCGGACGCGTTCGTGAAATTTTTTCATCCTACGCCACCGCCACCGTGCGCAGAGGTAATTGGACGATGAACGGAAGTGCGGTATGAAAATGATGAACGACCCCTTGATGCCCGAACAATCCAGCTACCTATGGTCGTCGTGCTGTATCCTTGTTATTAGCCTACCAAGAGCAGCCTTTCCACAAAAGAATATTCAAATTTATAAGGATAACGTTTAAGGTTGCCGTATATACATTTCCAGCCTTATTATTATTATTCGTCATTGGAAGAGATATTGTGCAGATTCGAAGGCAGGCCTCTGTTAATCAATTAAGACTGTTGCTCTTTTTTTTATCAAGCCAGATTTATCGAATTGATTTAAGCGTTCGCAAAAGAGAAAGTTATAGTATTAACTTCACTCTTGACCATGCGAAAATATCGCAAGCCTGCAGAATCGGAGAAAAAGAAGCAACAGGACTCCGATATCCTGATGCATGGATCCACGCGTGTAAGGCCGTCGTTTCTCTTATTATCATTCCTACCACCGTGACTCACTCTGCGGCAGAGATGTGTACAGGGAATCGTTTCAAGGATACGAAAAAACCACGGTTTATCCATCTCTATCTAAGAAGGGAACGGTTTCTCGAAGCGAGCAATAAGTGTCTCGAAATCCGCTTTGGGGCCACCCCTGACGAACGAGACGCGTTGTTTACGTGGCTCTTCCCCATCGGGGGAGAAAAGGGAATCGTTTCCTTTTTCTCGGGCAAACACACGGGCGGCGACGCGCAGCATGAGACTGTGGGGTTGTAAAACAATTTGCCCCGGCCCTGGTAAACAATGGACGATCACGAGGACGTTGGTTGTTCGAGAAGGGCCTGCTTTTAGAAAGAAAAGGGAGGCTCTCGTCCGCAATTCTACGTTTCATAAACCCTTAATTTTACGATGATTATTGCGGGCCCCTCCTGTCTCCTCTTTTTCGCCAATTTTAATCCCGCCAACGATGCCAAATTCAATTTGCCGCCGCGCCTACGGTCTCCCCGGGTTACGGAAAACTGGGTTTTACGATTCCTGTCTAACACGAAACGGCGACGGAAAAAAGGGCTCGTGTTTGCGCGGCCATCTTCCCTACTCAGGGGCCTTTTACTGCTGCAGGTAATTGGATTAAAAGAAACGCTGCGGAGATTATAGACGACGGAACGGTCTCTCTCTGTGTTTGCGCTGTCTATTCCACAGGATATCATCGGTAAATCCAATTTTTTAGAGTTAGCCCGCCAGTTGAGAGCTCGTAGACCCGAAATTCCCCTTCGAAACAAAGATTCTTCGCGTTTTACTGCTTCTTTGACGAAATTGTAATTCCATTAGGACCCAGAGATGTTTGAACGAGAGTTACGAAATAACTAAGAATGGAATTTTTACAATCAACCGCTTTTCCCTCGTACTTCGCATCTCTAGGAATGATCAAAACACGAGATATTTTATATTACTACACAGAAATTAATCGAATGCCTCCCTTTAACGTTTAACGCGGAATCGATAAGATCGTGAATGGTACACACCAGGATGGAATTCCACCCAATTGATCGGGTAATTGTGCACTTGCCCATCAGGTAAATACCATCAATCCTGGTCGCAATCTGTTCCGAGATTGATACTTCCGCGTCGAGGATCGAGTAGAATAGAGCAGACTCGTGGAACACCTTAGAAACGAGCAAGTGTAGAGGATGAAACGAGCCGCGTTGAAAAATGTCATCGTCGTTCAATTACGGTGCATCTCGTAACAGGCAGCACGAGCGGTTCCTAATATTAGTAACGTTCGCAGAAGCGTGCTTCTGGAAAGTAGCACTCGACGCTCGTCCCTCGTGCACCGAAATATTGTAACGAAGTAATGTAGCGAGAACGATAAAATTCGTAGAACAGCGGAGCAGGATAAGAAAAAGAAAAAAGGAAAAAAACCAAGTATTCTGTGTTCATTGTCGATTCCTTCGTTGAGTTCATATTTCACTGTTCGAACGAGGATAATGGAATATACAGGCGGTCGCGTGTGGTTGCACGCGGACTGTCACAGATGGGTGACGAACAGATGAAGACTTTATGTCATGCGACCGCGGTGTAATCAACTGTTTTCTGGAGGACATGGGACGGTCGCATTACGACAGATCGAGCTGGACATTATGTTGTCTGTCCTGTCTCGAAATGATAAGGTGATTAGTATTTTTGTTGGCCAATGGTCGTAAACGGAAACACGGAAGAAGATGAAGAATTTTGCGGTGAAGTATTTCATTCATTATATACCACCGGACAATAAAATTGAAGTATACGAGGGAGATTCGTGTTTCGTTACTTTTTATGGAATACACGATTTTCTGATATTTTATTGAACGAAGATAACGAAGAATTTGGGCGATTTCAGGATAGAGTGTTCGGTCTTCGGTGTAATTTGAAAGAAAAAATTAGTGTGGCATTCGTCGACGAGATTGTCAATGAAGATTAAAGCATGATTTTAAGATATTTTATTAAAGGACTTGTATAATATTCAGAGAATTGCCGAAGAAGACGAAGAATTTGGATAATTTCAAGGCAGAGCGTTTGATCTCCGGTGTAATTCGAAACAACAAACGCGAAATTTCACGAGCAAGCGTCGTACTATCGTCGAAAGGGTCTCGAGTAGTACGTCGTTCATCGACAAAAGCATCAATCAAAATTAAGGCCTGCATTCACCGATGATGTCAGGATGGGAGTACAAAAGCGTGGTTCCACCATTAATAAAGAAACCGTCCATTCGATTCTATTAAAATCAACTCTCTCTCTCTTTCTCAACGCACGATTTGCATGTGTGAATGAATGGCTCTGGGCATTGTTTTACCACGCTATCGTGACGCTGTACGCCTCGATTGAAATACGATATACGTAATCAGTTGCTCTATCATGCTTCCACGATAATTCCTATTTTTCCTACTCTTCCGTGCGACATTCTCGATGGTTCAGATTCTGAATAATTCACCGGGAAAAATCTACCGCGAAAGATCAAAGTTCGAAGACACTCACCTTGACTGTGCTCGCCAGCGTCGAATGTTTTGCTCGTCATTTGAAACAGGGCGTCCAAAGGGCTACCCTGACCTGTCGTCCTCTTCCCATGGTGTCCGCTCTGGGACCCATGCTGCTGAGACGGTTTCCTCTTGAACTGTTGCTGCTGTTGTTGCTGTTGCAACGCCGGATGATGGAGGCCGGGATGCATGCCGTGATGCAAACTGTGATGATGATGCGCCAGAGGATCGGGACTTCCAGAGTCGGAAACGGAGCTTCTTCCGGAAGAAGATGAGCTGCTGAGAGGTGGTTCACTGATGGACCCCGATATAGAGGCCAGAGACATGCCCATCAGAGACAGATCTCTGGGCGCTGTGGAATGATTATGGTGATGGTGCAAATGGTGTTGATGGTGAGGCTGCTGTTGCTGCTGATGAAGATGGTGACGATGATGATGATGATGGTTGAGGTTCGATTCTACCGTGTCCCAGGGACGAACGATCTTCGCCTTAGGTCTGTGAGATAGAATGTCTAGGATGCTGAAAGACTTCACTCCTCGTTCGTTCGTGTCTCTGTCCCTGTCGTCTTCCTCGTCCGAGTTCTGCATCTGCACCATCTTCAGTCGTTTCAAGGGTTTGAAGTAATCGTCCGTGGCACCAGCCGCCGAAGCACCGTTACTGCTCGTCCGACTGTCCAGCTCCTCCTCGTCCTCTTCGTCTTCGTCGTCGTCTCTCAACGTGGTCACGGAATCACCACCGCTGCTCTCGTGGGCACGCAAACCTCTGCCGTTCGACATCCTGTAGTCACCGCTGCGCGAGTAACTGTCCTCGTCGTCGATCATAGTGTCTCTCGGGTAGCTTCTTCGAGGACTCAGTCTGTCCACGTACTCTTCTCTCGACTGAGAGAGTCTCTCGTCTTCCTCGGCGCTCGGAGCGACAACTACGAGGGGTAAAGGGCTGGGGCAACCGACAGAGATCTCGTCCTCGTCGTCTTGAACGTCGCCACGGCCGGGAGAGCCTTTGCAAGGTGTCCGTCGGGGAGCTGGCGATCCTAGGCAGCCGGGCGTCGTGGCGCTGGAAGATACCGTCGTCGACGGTGACATCGTGTACGATTCTGTCATCTCCGTGGTGCACATTCCTGAACGACGATCTTTCGCACCCTGTGACGAGGCTGGATCCTTGGAAATTAGGAAAGGAACCGATCGAACAGAGTGAAACGACAAGTCAACAGTCTTTGCGCAACACCCGCGCACCGAACGACAACATTCACCAGGTTTCTACGAGTGAAAATTCAGCGACACCGCGGAATAGTAATGCATCTTTGCACCGTGATAACGTGCACCGTTCTCCATCGAAGCTTCGCTCAGACCGGCCGGTCCACTTGCATCGAACTGCTCATCCCGCGTTTGCGTACGAATCGCGACACTACCGGCGCTCGAATTTCGACGCAGTTTCTATATTCAACAATGCCCCGTCATTGTACGGACCGCTGTTCGTCCTCGGTCATCATTCGTCCCTCTTACATCACTATTAGAGACATTCTCCTACGACTCACACTGTATCTTCCGTCGTTGCGTGCCTGTCATCTCTACGATCCCCGATAAAACAGTCTCGCACTCGATTAAATCACAAAACGAACAATGTTAACGTATCGGCAACTTGTCCAAGCCCAACTGGACTCAACGACCACTGTCCACACTGTCAAACCATCCCGTTGGAAAAAAAGGAAAAGAAGGAGAACGTGTTCCTGAAACTCAGTCTGCTTCGTCAGCTGACTCAGATCGGCGCGGCAGTTCTTCACAGAAAATGAAAAGAAGAAAACGAAATTGCACACGCGTGAACGTTTTCGAGACGTCCCTCTGTCGCACTATCACGAGTCTGGAGCACAGGTTGTTAAGCAGAGTCCGGTGTTGGAGCGTTGAGACGCGGTCATGACGGCGGTTGGCTCGTTGTACGCGGACGAAACGTCAATACGGCGGATGGTAAACGAGCTACGGGATTTCGTGGCTCGCTATCAGGCCAGTCCAAGCCAGTGACTCGAAATGGTACGGGGACGGGGATCTCGGGCCGGTGTTCCCGCAGGGGCAGGCGCTTCTCTCTCGACCGCCTCGAACAGACCCGTAGGAGGGAGCAGAATCGTTCGAATCCCCTACTACGTCTGGTTAGTTGTTGCACCACCTCTGTCGATGGGACGAACCTAAGCTGGTCGTGCATGGGCGGCCTCAGGTTTAGGCCTGCCTATCTATACCCCCCAACAGACCTAACCGTGCTTGCCCCTTAGACACGGCAAAATGACGCTGCCTCGATGGAATTTTTACGAGACGTACTTAACGTCCTGTGCCGCGCTGCCTGGCCTCAACGTACACCCAGCCCTTTCGTCCTTCCTTCTTTTACTTCCACACTCCTCGCGCTCTTCTTCCTCCACGAGTCCGTGGCTCATCGATGTTTGCTCTTCGTTCCACCAATGGTAGTTAGAACCTTCCCTTCTCTCTCTCTCTCTCTCTCTCTCTCTCTCTCTCTTGCCATCGAAGTACACTTCGAGCTGGCTTGGAACGTGGGATTGACCCTCCACGACGAAAAGCTCGCCTAACGAGGCCCACCGTGATTTCATCCCACCCGGACTGCCGATTTCTAGATTCCGTTCCTACGCTACTCTCCGAGAGTTCTCTCGTAGAGTAAAAAGCCAATTTTTGCAAATTTCGTTTCGACCATGTTCCAAGCTTTTCTGCGACTGTATCACGCATGCTTTACATCGTACTTTTCATGTTGCATTTTTGTTTTTAGCTCGGGTAAGAGGGTTTCGAGAAGCATTTCCGATGTATCTAGCCTTTGAACGGTGATTATTGTTTTTCTTTCGTGTGTATATTGCACGATGTTGTAACGTACATGTGTGTGCGCGCGCGCGTGTGTGTGTATAGTGCGTAAGTGTAGCTAGGATTTTTTTCCATGAATTCTCGTGTCGAAGCGTTCTACGACATGTGGCGGACACTGTTGCGGTTCCCATCGCGAAACACCTTTCATTGTTATTGCTCTATTATTATTACAAGTTCGGTACAAAGTGCTTGTCACAGACAGCCATAATGGCACCGCAATAGCATTTGGTAACGGAGAGTCGCGCTGCGTGCACGCGTACAATTCGTTCGTGTAGAAAAAGTGAACGGTGGCAAAAAATCGGAATCGTCCAGGTAGGAAATTCATTACGATAAAGTCTGGCCTTGACGATCGAACCTCGTATTCGGTCTTTTTCTCCTCTCGAGCGAACTTCTGCTTCGTCTACGCGGTGTGTTTCAGCGATTCAGATCGGGGCCTGGACAAGCGGAAGTCACTCGCGGTCCGTCGATGGTGAAACATGTTTCCGGAATCGTTGGAAACAAACGTGGCCGTGTAGAGGGTATAACGTCGTTCCGAGGATCGCTGGTCCGGAACGAGAGCTAGAATGGTATCGCGACTATTACATACAGACTATTATCCGCGATCACGGCTGAGAATCGATTCCAGTCGCCGTGTAATTGTAGCAATCTGGTCGACAACTAGCAGCCGACACGACACGAAAAATATCCATCTGGCTTCTTGCCGGCAGAAGATCGAATTTTGCTCCCTTTTACTCGCTTCACAGTTCACTAGAGAGACCCTGTATTTTTTGTCCATCGCCCCACTTTCGATGTTCTATCCGAAGTACCGTCGCGTGAAGAGAGAAGATTTTCATTCGTGAAGTTGGATTTCAGGTTTTGAATAAATTTCGCCAAGAGAACAAGTTGTAAGCACGAAGAAGTGTATTTTGTGAATGAAATTGGAGTACTACGAAGTACACCATAGACAATTAACCTTAACCGCAATTTTTGAACCGTTCAGAAATTCAACGAAATACCTTGAAATACTGTAGACTTATTTAAACACACCCGATACTGTCAAAGTCTAGAGAAATTAAGCTTAACCACAATTTTCAGTCCATTCAGAAATTTAATGAAATACCTTGGAACACTATAGACATGTTTACACACACCTGATACTACCAGAATCTTCAGAAACGAAGCTGAATCTGAAATTGCAGGTTCGTTGAAAAATCTACATAATTCTGAAAATAAAACACGCACAGCAGTGTTCGATCCATTTCCTGCTCAAATCACATATGCAAATATATGTAACATAAGCGGGGCTAAAGGCAGTGACAATAGTCACACAGAGGGTCACGTGCAAGAAAATCGAGCAGGTTCTTTGAGAACGGACGTTCGTTTCGATTTAGCAAAGAGCAAGCACACAGAGAGATGAAGAATACCATAGTGGAGTTAGGCTACAGAGATCGTGCAGTTGGAGCTCAGAGCAACTATCCCGATACAAAGAGGCGCGAGCGAGCCTAATTATTATGATAGCTCGCCACTGGATTCTGTCGGTTCCTTTGATCTACCGCCGTTTAGCATGATCCCCCGATATTTAGGTAGGGCCCATTGTGTCCTGCGAGTGGAAGGGGAACCTCGTGTAGCGGATCGTTATGGTGGGGTGGTGTGGACCCATGAACGAACACCGAACAAGTCCACTCTACGAGGACTTAAGACACGATAAACTATTCATCAATGAGCCGCTTTTTTTCCACAGAAATTTACACTTTCCTTTCGGCTTACTTCCTCGACCATCGATCCTCTTCATGTACGGACCACACGCGAGCCTGTTAATACGCCTCGCCAGATCGTGATCCGATCATTTTTGCGTAATACTCGAGAGTATCGTCCTATCTTTCTTATCGACGAATTTTTTCCAACTTTATAATTGTTGTTTCTTTGAAACTTCAGTTGATTTTGTAGCTATAAACTGTAATTTTTCTACCGTTACTCTTTCTTTCTATTTTTGCTTTCCGAGTTTGTTCTGTATTTTACAAGTTTTTGTACATTATTATACAGGGTGGAACGCGTAAAACGAGATGGAAGAAATGGCAAAAAATGAAAGGAAGTTTCACGTCTGATTTAAAATTTAAAGGTCGTATTATTACGCATGTTTAAATGCACATCAAGGTCTTCTACAACATACACCAGAAAAAAATATAGAATTTTATGCAAAAGGAAACATAAACGACCTTGAAAAAAGCAGAAAAAAATGTTCTATCGATATCGGAGTGAATTGAGCTACTACAAGACAGGTAGAACCTCTCGAATAAAGTGCACGCACGTTTCGATGAGAAAATAAAGAGGTAAATGAAGTGAAGCCGGACGATTGGCAATAATATGACGGAAGGAATCATCGTTCGATGAAGCTTCGACGAGCCCACGGCCTAATGAAAGGTTATTTACACGCTAACTGTACGCGAGGCCGGCAATCGCGTTGGATACGCGTGGTCTATGCACGTCGAATTCGTCAGTCGAATAAATAAGCAGCCACGAGACCTTTCACAACCTGCCGCGATAGCGTTTCGCGTTTCTAGACGCTTGGAGGAACGGCTTCGGCTTTCTTTCGCCACGGATTCGTGACATTTATGGGAATGTTAGCAGGTCGACGCAGACATTATCCGGGATTCTGAATGAGTCTTGCGAGCTTTGAATGTCACTCAAACGTCTCTTCTCGATCCTCGATGGACGAGACGAACGTTCTTTTCTTTTCTCCTTCTTCCTTTCTCCCTATCCTACAATCGAAATCCGTGTCTGATTAACGCCTCGTGCAACTTAATAAGTCGTTAAGTACGCGAAACGAGGCGGGTTCGCAACTACCGATAAAATTACCATCACCACTACCAACGTATAGACACCCTAGTGGAAGTGTGACGTACAAAGGTGTAACATACATAGTCCCGGTCCCGGGGCAAGGAAAAAATGACTCTGCATCGACGTTCACGTTTAACGGAATACCGCACACCGTGCTGCCAGTCGTATCGGGTAAAGCGACGTGACGAGCACTAATAACTATCCAGTACGCCGTCATTCTTATCGAGCCGTTCCATCGAAACTGAGGTTCTCTCTTTCAGCTGATATAATGGACACCTATACTTAGCAGTAATTGCCGCGTGCATCTCGTCGTAATAACGAACCGGTGAACAACTCGCGCGCGCGGGGCCCCACGGCGCGCCACGGAGCAACGCTTGTTTGCTTGGCCTTCCCTCAAGGCCTCGATACTTCTACTCCGAAATCAAACACGAAATTTTTAAATACCT